AGCAGAGCAGCTGGTGGATTTGAACCGCATACCTCTCGGATTTCAGTGCAGCTTCTTGCCACTAGGCCACCATGGCTTCCCTTTTTACTCTGTTGGAGAAGTTTTTGGATGTGCATAGGGATTTGATTCTTAGAAGGTCCCATTCATCTATTTTATTTTTCTCCTGGTTGTAGAGTCACTTTAACATTTAAATGTGGTTTATAAGTCTATCATTTTGTGACATACCCACATCATATGACATTTTATGGGATATATATTTTCTTTTGACTTGTGTTTACTTACATATTGGAGAATCACCAGTTCACATTGATTTCCCTTATATTCTTTCATTTTTATTTAATGTTGGGTGCCCAAATATTTAGCAGCCTACATATAATATATTCATTTATTTAGTCTAAAGCCTTATATGAGGCTTCAAATAGGATACAGCAGTGAAGAAGATTGATGCTATCTACTGTCAGCCTGTAGCTAACGTCTGTCGTCACTCACTGAAAATTTTATCTCTGGCTTTCTTCTTTTATTCATTGTTTACATATTTAATATCTTTAAAGTCAACTTCTCTACCCCAAAGACAGGTATCATAATTTTAGTATTAAAACCTTCTGAGGAAAAAAAATACCTTCTGAGGTACCATTGTAAAACAAACACATTTCTCCTCATTGGAATTCCTTTAGGAATTTCCATTTATACACACACACACACACACACACACACATACATATGTATATATACACAGATACACACACATGTGGTAATTATTTGATTACAGGATCATTCTAAATATACACTATTCCCATCACCAGGCAGGAATACTGACTTTCAGCTATCCTGGAGTCTGTTTTATTCACTGGAAATGTCATCACGTTAACACTCTTTGCCACAAAATTATGCTCTGCCTATTTTAAAGTAGATGAAATGAGTTTCGTCTGTGGAGATGTCAAAGCAAAACGTTGTTTCAAGAAGAGTCACTGAACCAGATAGTTCATTCTGAAGAGTAAATTGAAACTGAAATAGGAAATAGGTCAAGTTTAAGGAGAAAACCAGTAATACAACTTCATGATTATTTGCAATTTTTGCAATCTATATACTTTGTTAAAAATAACTTTCAGGCTAAAAATTAATGGACTCTTAGAATGACCTTTAAAGAAAGGTAATAGCCCTGATGAGGTTTCCCAGTTTGAACTACCTGAGCATGTTAAAGATGAAAACAGGAATCTAATCAGAACATTTATTACACTG